CTCTCTTACAAATAATTATACTAATTCTTATTGTTCGGTTTTTATTTTTACGTTATCCTTACTTTGTTCCAGATAAATAATATTAATAATACTAATTGTTTTGGGTTTATTATATTATTAAATAATATATCCTTATAGATATTTATTATGTCATGGTAGTTAATATCACATAATCATTCTTATTACCATTTTCTTTTGGTTAAGTAATCTATTATATATCATTCACTGTTTATATAATTATCAACAGAGAATTTGATATTACCACTTAAAAAAATAATTAAATAGCAATTAAATTTAGAGACAAAAACAATTAATTATTATATTGATTAACTTAATATTATTTTATAAACAAAAGAATATTTGTATTTAAAATAGTTTTTAATATTAATAAAATATTGTAATTGGTTTGTGAATTTGAATCTAAATTAGTTTATGATTTTAGTTATCAATGTTTTAGTTACTGAATGTCAATAGTAAATAGCAATAAATTTGGTAGTTTATGAGACATATCAATTATAATTTTTTATTAATAATAGAGAATATAATAAATATTAATAATTTTTATTTTATAAAATTATGTCTATTTGTCAATATAATAATTAATTATATTTTAATTTTAGATTTGATTACTACTTAATTATTATTTTTTTTGTAATATAGCCTTTGATTCAATATATATGGTTAAGAATTGGACTATAATATACCTAGTATTAGTTACATCTAATAAAATCATGTCATTAATTATTCTATAACTTGCTGAAAATCCATTAAAACCTTATCAACAATTTATATAGTCATAGATATTCATGAATACTGCAAGTATATTTTTTTTATTAAAGTTCTTATTTTTAAATAAATTTATTTTCTAAAACATAAATTTAAGAAAAGCTTTTGTCTTCAAAATATATTTAAAATGAAATTACATCTCAAAATACTAATACAAATGAAACTAATCTCTACTAAATCTATATACAGTAAAATATAAGTTTAAATAAAATTAGTAGTTAATAACAATTTTAATTTCACAAATCTAAATAATAAGAACACATGTAAAATACTATTAAAATGAATATTACATGTATGATAATGGAACTATTATAAGAAAACAAACCTACAAAAGACAAGATCTACACCTGTAGAATCATTTGACTTTCCAACTGTTTCACCCTTACCTCTCGCTAGAACAATTGTAAAGAATGTCTCCTTAAGCTCACATCATTAAGCTGATCATCACAAAAGAGAAAACATACACAAAGATAGACAACATAAAAGTAAGGGTAAGCTAGAATACAAATAATTAATGATATATAAAAATATTTAAACATTATACACATGATACACATTTCACACCAAACGACCAAACACTTTATGCATGACAACACTTTGACTGGACTATTCGGACTTAGAATGAGTGTCGAGCTATGGCGGTTATGCACTTGTGGCTTTTACTCTTTGCAAAGTCATTGCCAACAGGTTTCACCCCACCACACTCACAAGTTTAGTCTATTTCATGCCTTGAATCATATTGGAAGCACCCAAGACTAAGACCTCCTACTACTCTCACCACATGTGTCAAACCTCTCTATTTGAGAATGTATGACCATTAGAGTGTCAGGAAAACCCTTAAGACTGAGCTACCTGCATTCATTGTAACAACACTTGAACCACACTAAGAAGTTCCACCTTGGAACTCAATTCACAACTTTGAATCCACTTGATAATTTATACACATTTCCTTTCACTTTTCCATAGTATACCAATACACGAAACTATTGATCATACATTAAAAAACTAGAAACATCCTTACAAGTAATCAGAAATCACACAATAACACAAATTTTCTTCATAGCAACTTGATACCCACACTAGTCAAGGAAAACAACTTGGAAAATCTCACCAACAGCTCTGAAAAGGTCTACAACCCCCAAAACGACCTAAAGAAAGTCCAAAACTGATATCTAGAACCCTGAATTTGAGATTTCCAAAATCTGAAAAACCTAAAACTGGTGCAGTGGCGCTAGCACCTAGAAGTTGACACTCAATGCCCTGGCCCCTAGAATGGGGTGCTCAACGCTTTGTTTGGGCGCTCAAGCGCTACCAGTAGATTTTAACTCTTTTTGAATTGTTTATCCCACTTACCCCACAACTTCTAAAGACCTTTAGGACCCTTCAAACCTTGAGAAAACTCTAACAACACTGCTGTAAATCAAATTGACCCATTAAAACCCAAATCCACTCCTATAAGCTACCCAAACTCAATTGTATACTTTCTAGCCCTTATATTAGTTTACCAATTGCATAACCAAGTCTAAATACACTACTTAGCACACTTCAGCACCTCAAATGACTCTTATCCATTCTATTTCAAATTCTCACTATGTAAAACCTCAAAATTGACCAAAAGTGCCTAAGAATTCACTCTAAGTTGACTCTAACAGTTCTAAACCAGATTTATCTCATTTAAATCCGTAGAAAAATCATAATAGTTCTCATAGCAACCTCTTAATTGCCCAAACTAGTCCCCACTTCTTACATTTAATTCTCACGACTCAAAACCACCTTTTTACACTAAAACAACTTTAAAACTTCAACAATGAACCCTATTCTTTGCTCCAAATCAGATTTCACTCAAAGGACACTTCTAACAAGTCCAAAATGACCACATAATAGTACCAAACTAGTTACTCCATCACTCCAACACCTACTTCTAAAATTCACCCATCAAAACCCCTATTTTTTACCTTAAAACCTAAGTAATGGACCCTTCTTTACTGCAAACACTTTGAATTCATTTTCTAACACCAAAACAACTTCATTACACACAATCAAAACAATTTTAAGCATCACAAACACACCATTCTAAATATACCAACATGATACTATCAAAATCATCAATTAAACATAATTATCATACTCAAACATAACAATTCTCAAAAATAATTTTTATTCATAGAGATACGAAAATCTATAATACAAGTACAAACTAAAGCAAAGGTTCTAGCTTCCTTTACTTCACAAGAAACTGCTCAACTCTAAGAGCGTCCCATCGATTGCTTGAAACACAAGAAATTTCTAGATGAACCTAACAAAACACCGAATTGAAAACAAACAAAGTCCTTAAGACTTTAGATTAACCAAGAATGAGTAGAAGAAACAAAATCACACATGCAACGACATTTGATTCTTACAAAAATAGATTAGGAACAAAAGAAGAAAAAGGAATCGAAACTTAGTTGCTCTATTGAAGAAACTGATCGAGTAAAAATGTAGACCTTGTTGCCGTGGTCGATTAGGTACCTCCTGATCGTCAAAAAGATGACTCATGAGTTAGAACTCTTAGAGAGAAGATAGAGAACTCTAGAAAATTTGTTTCTGGAGAAATAGTATGTTTTAGAATAATGAAACTTATTTATAACAAAATTATTTATAATAAAACTTTTTAATATTAAAATAAAAAAGTCTTATTATTTTTTTAGACTACTACCACATCTAAAATAATATTTTTCTGGGGTTATGCAACATAGATCAATAAATCAAACTCTACAAAATTCAATTATTGATGTATTCTTTATAAGAAAAATTTATTTTGACCATTAGTTCAAAAAGAAAAATGTAAATAAAAATTACTAGCAATGGACAAGGAGATGATTAAAATACATATATCTATTATATATATATATATATATATATATATATTTGATAAAGGTACCTTTTTTTATCCATTTTGAATTTTATATGTATATATTGATGAATGTATATTTTTCTAATCCCTAAATACATCTCTCATTATCCCAATTAGAAGGTCAAAGAATCAGTTACTTTTACATATCCTTCAACGATGCCAAAATGAATCACTCTTACGTTGGGTTTGTTTGTAGTCATTTACTGTTATTCGATGGATGGAAAACGAGCTTTTTAGCCGTTTATTTCCATTTATGGTCGTTCATGTTAAAGGAATATCCCGATGTTATCAATAATTAATTTTTATTAGAAATTTGATTGATATTTTCAGTGAAGTCTCTCCCTCTAAGTAATTGCCTTTATCCACAACAATCAAAACCCAAATTTTTCCTACAAATATTAAGTTTTAATATTATAACTACAGAATTTACTATTTTTTTTTTATGAAAAAGTGATTTTCTTACAGTTATTAGCAATAATGATATTTTGCGCCTTTGAAGTTTCTTTCACGCAATAGAATTTAATAAGTATTTATTTTTCATTTGACTAATTTATAAAGCACTTGTTTATGATTAATTTATTCGAATTGATTTATTATGATGCTTTGAATTGATTAAAAGGGACTTTTTCCACTTCATTTCTTCACAATTTTTGGGTAACTCTCGTTCATATTTATTTCGAAAAGGCTTTCTGAAATTTTATTTTTGAAAGCCCAATAAGTAAGGCCCATTAAAATATTTGATGAGGGCAGGTACTTCCTGCACCACTCCTTCTTTGAGAGCAATAAAGCCAGCCCAACACTCTATTATAGTCTAGTGGGTGTTTCTTTCCGCAACCCTTAACTTTCACATGCATTCCAATAAGGGTGTTTGAAAGACCAAAATATCCCTTATTTTTCTACACCCACATATCTTCAAGCTCTTGCAACTGCCACAAATGACTTCTTACGGTTCCTTCTTTGGAGAATTTCGTAATTTGGAGGAGTTATATTTTTCCTTTAAAAAAATTAAATTATGTAATACGGAATACTATATTGATTGTGTGATGAAATATGTTTTTTAGTTGCAGATTGCATAATCTGAGCGGTTTCTTGATTGATCCAGACAAAACTTTAAATTAAAGGGCAAACTAGAGATTTACTAGTTAAGGGTGTGCAGAAGAAAAGCATTGGGTGCAAAGAAAAACGGTCTGATATCACTTTTAGTACAATAAATGTAACGGCCCAAAATGCTAACAGAAGAAGTTGCAAGGCAAAAGAAGAAAATGCCGTGAAACGATGTCGTATAGCAATCAGCATAGGATTAAAACCCTTCGAAGTAAACTTTAAAACCCTTTACCATTTTCCATCTTCAGCGATTTCGAAATCCGAATCAATGGCTTCTTCTCTCGTTCGAACGCTTCAAAGAGTTTGTACATTGAAACGGAACCCGAGAGCGTTAACCGCACTCGCCGCCACCGCGCCTTGTGGAGCCAGAACCTACGGCGCAGAGCCAGAACCACTGACCAAATCGCCCTTCGATTCCAACATCATTCGAATACTCCGAAACGAAATCGAATACCAACACGAATACGCGCCACCGCACCAGGTTAACAAATTTCCAAATAACCATACACTAATTTTATTCCATTCTATCCCTTTAATGAATCGATGTTTTCGTTAGAATTAATGTTTTTAATCCTTGTAATGTTTGCAGCCTGATACTAAATTCAATTCGTTTACGGTTGAAGATAGACGTAGCGAGCAAGTGGTTACGATTAAAGGGAAGTTTGGGGAATGTGAGGATATTAGAATTGAGGCAACGATGTTTGATGGGTGTGAACATGTTCCTGCGTATGGGGATGATAGTTCTGGTGTGAATGTGCGTCTTCACCTTAGTTTAATTGTGGATATATCGAAGGGGGAAGGTGAAAATGACTTAGAATTCGTGTGTTCAGCATGGCCTGACTCTTTGAATGTTGAGAAAGTTTTCGTGTTAAGGCGCGGTCGAATGGCGGCTAGGCCTTACATTGGACCTGATTTCAGGTTTGGAAAATGGCATTTACCGTTTTGTTTTCGTTCATTGGTTCATTGGCCACATGTTTCAAGTTTATCAAGGTTATAAATTGCGGTCGCTGTTGCAGTTTCGTTGTGATTAGTGTGATATTGTATGAAGTTGGTGACCAATTTGGCTGATGCGGTTGATGACTCCAATACCTGTGGTGTCGCAGCTTGAATTGACTGTCTTTTGAAACTTTGATGTTTACATTTCCATGTTCCTAAGTTGTCTGTCATGATTATGATTTTGTCACGATTCTTAATGTTGAAAATTGTGGACAAATTAGGTTGATGTTACGGTATGGTTGCTCAGACCCCAAAAGCCTTGAGGTTGCGGCTGTGGGCCTTTTTTAAATTCTTGGTTGGTGATGCCAGCTTGAATTGACGAGGAAAATTTTTGTGTGAAAGAGCTATATTTGAAGTTACTTGTTATCGTGAAGTTGGATTGCTTGTCTTTCTCATGTGTTTTATTTTTCTTGTTTCAGGGACCTGAGTGCTAAGGTTCAGGAGAAGTTTTACGAGTACTTGGACGAAAGGGGTGTGAATGATGAGCTTGCGGTTTTCTTGCATGAATACATGATGAACAAGGATAGGATTGAGCTTCTGCGGTGGATGGATAGTCTCAAATCTTTTGTGGAAAGATAGATAGGTAAGATTGACATTTTCCAGCTAGGAATTGTTGTGAATATCAAGTTTTGACATTGGCATTTGGTATCAATTTATTTATTTAATTCAAATGCATTAAGAATGTTTCACATTAGGAGGCAAGGGTAGGAAATAATGGAGGTTCTGTTTCCTTTTTGTGGTTATATGATGAATGAATGATGACCGATTGAGAGTTGAACTTCAAGGGTGATGGATTGTTTCAAGTCTTTTGAAAAGTAGTTTGGGAAATCTAGCTAACTAATAGTTTATGTAAACATTTCTAGTCTTGATACTGTAGAAATTAACTTCTGTAAAATTTCGTTTGATTTGTAGTGTTTGCATCATTTTCCTTATGTTCTAAAATCATGCAAGACAACCTTAAGCAATATTGACCAGCAATATGAGTCTTATATGTGCATTGTTTTTTTTTTTTTTTTTTTTTTTTCATTTTTTGGAGATTTTAGTGGAAGAAATTTAGAAAATTATCAGAACATTTAGTAACAGATTAAATCGTTAAATTGTTTTTTAAGAAGAGCAGTGGTTGTAACGATGATGCTTAATACACTGTAAATTGATGTCACAAACGTAGAGCTTTCATTGGATGTGATTTTATGAGTAAGATAAGATCTAAAATTAATGTTTCCTACCCTCAAAAGTGTTAACCAGTTTGTCTATTTCGTATCGCCCTTGCATTTATGTTCGGAATTCATAATCTGTTTTTCATTTTTGTTGTGCTTTGTTTGATGATATAGACAGATGGTCACAAGATGACATATCTTTTAGGTTTTGCACATTTTTGTATTTGTTTGTGCACATGTGGGGCATAAAATAAAGGATGCTTTTCTTAGTTTGCTAATTTTTGAAATGAAGGATGATTTATTGGTGAAATTGTATTTGCTCCATGTCTTGGGCCATGATTTTCATATCTAAAACGGTGAGAACGTCTATTGTTAAATGTGAGTTGGTCTGAAGCTGAATCATGTCGTATGATGGAGTGTGGTTTAACCCAAGTTTTTCATGAATGAGATGTGTCTACATTTTAAGTAGCGCTTTCCATATATGATGCTATTAGAAACATAAAGCAGATAGTGCTTTTCCTAAGGACACTACTAAAAAAAGGACACATTGTCTGAATCAAGAAACTAGATAGCGCTTGTTTTAAAGCAAGTGTTATGTCTATATATGTATTATTTTTTGACAATAGTTCAAGCATAGCACTTTTCGGAGAAAGCATATTAGTGCTTAAACTTGGATAATGCTTTTCTAAATAATCACGAATGTTAGTGTGTTGATCGTGATCTTAATTTTTTTGGTTATTAGTGATTAAATACGGCTATATGTACAATATTGTAGGAAAGCATTAACTTGGCGACGCTGAATTTATGTTGAAAATAACCGTTATGACTCCATATCAGATATCACTTTAAAGAATTTACATCCAGAAGATCATAGAATCCACACAAACTCTTTAATCATCGCCATTCATTCTTGAGAAATGTCATTGAAAGAACATTTGGTGTGTGGAAAAAAGAGATTCCCTATCATTGCTAGTGGAATTGAACTACATTATGGGTTGGATACAATGACACATTATATTAGCTTGTTGTAGCTTACAAAACTTTCTTTGTGTCGTGGATAATAATGACTCATTACTTGATGAGGTTGATAATGAACTAAATGAAAGGGAAGACCAAACAACATCAGCTCATGTTCGTGAAGAAGATTATAAGTTTGTTAGTAGTATTATGGATTCCATAACATATGAGATATGACGGGATTATCAAAACTTATAGTTCTTGTAATTTATTGTGTTATTTGACTATGTTATTTGTAATAATAAGAAATTGGTTATATGATTATTTAATCTTAATTTGTTAAGGTTTTGTTTATGAAATGTGTTTAAAATTAACAGAGGCAAGGGAGTCATGACCGAGTCTTTGGCGGGACAAAGGAGTTCATCAAATGGATTGAATGGACACACAACTTCTTAATGCCATGCTCATGAATTGTGTTTGGGGAATAAGGTTAGCAGTAGTTGGACAACCTAAGCATATAATAATATTTTTTATAATCTTCATTCATTTGGTATCTTCAGAGTGAGGTGAACAAGAAAAAAATTAAATTGAAACCTATTGATAGGTTGAATGTTGCTCATCTCATGTATGAGGGTCATAAATTGTCCATCGTAAATATATCAGATGACTTTCCCTATGACCATGAGATGACATTGGGGGTCAGACCAAAAATGTATAGTCAACGTGTTAAAACAGTTGGTAGTTTAAACAATAATAATAAACTTTTTGCAAAATGGTTGCACGAAGATATCTTTATGTTATAGGTGCTTAAAAATAATATATCTATTAATTGGTCTCATCATATCATGTAACATATGTATAAATGTAAGGTCAGTGGCACACCTTTACCATACAATGCCTTGATCATTCAAATCATGCAATACATTGGAGTATATCTTGACGGTGATGCCAACACTCAAATTGGGATCAAAAAACATTTTTCTACTAATTCTTGAAAGAGGTTGAATATTGTTAACATCAATGGTATTGGCAGAATGACGTCGGTGATGATGAAGAGGAAGAACAACCACAACATCAAAGTCCTCAACATAAGGACTCTGTGCAACATCCTCCTTATCCTTCAAATCACCATATGACTACTCAAATGTGAGGGGGGGTACAAGACTTGCCATACAAAATGCAAGATATGGAAAAAATGCAGGGGTGTCTTTAGCGTATTGAAGATAACTTGACAAACTTATCCTTGGACATGAACCAAGAATTCGCTAACCTCAATCTTAATGTTAACTTAATTATGCACCAATTAGATGATTAAGTTCTATTATATTCCATGATTGTATTACATGACATTATGAATTTCCTTTATCATATTACATTAACTTATGTCTTTGATTTGTTACATTAGATCAATTTCAATTCTATTTGTTTTCACAACAGTTATCATACTCTTATTTATTGTGAATGTCGCTGTAATGAACTACAAATTAAATGAGTTCTCGAATAATTGATGAATTGGGAAAAGAAAATACTGAAACAAAAAGACTGTGTCAGAGCTTCAAAATGTGCGACTAATAGCCACAATTCATTCATATAATCATATCTCAGAAGAAATTGGTAACTTATTAAGGACTATGAACATTCAAGACGATAACTTATTAAAACGGTGTTTCAAATTTTTGTCTCCACATCCATCCCATACAAGACGTTTAATAGGAATGCCAATGCAATATCGTTTGAAATAGTTGGTTACATACATAACCAAAGGAAATTCATTATAAACTATGATAAATATGGTTGTACCTTATTATGTTTTGATATTTTTTATGTAATGTAATATTGTAACTTTAATTTATTATTGGTTTCATCATGAATATTTAATTTTTTTGATAACATAAAAATCATACCCCTTGCTTGTAAATTGTGAGGACTTGAAAAATAGAGTTAAAAGAGCAAAAAGGTGCATTAAGTTAATGAAACCAGACTTTAAATAGATTTTTCAAACATCCTGGTCCATTAGCTTGAGCATTCTATCTCTTTCTAAAAACTTAGTTTTCATATTTTCTCTGCCTTCTCTCTACCACACCTCTGCCTTATCTCTACTATTTCTCTTCACTGAGCCAGTGGATTTTCGATCAGGTGGCGCCCAAACGTCCGCAACGTAGAGGGCTTCACAATGGACTGATTCATTTCGGATCCTAGGCTGGTAAGTCCTTACATGAAGTTTCTTCTCTGTTCTAAAACCTAGCACATGAAATCTTTGCTGGTTGCATGTGTCTTGTGCTTTCCTCTTTATCATTTTTCACTCAATCCTAGCTCTAAGAGTTGTTTCCATCACCGTTTCGGTGGTTGTAGGGTACTGTTTAGGTTCTTCGCCGAGTAGGGTACTATGGAAGCGGTGTTGTGAGCTGGGCTGTTCAACTCCAAGGTAAGGGGAGCTAGAATACTTCTTTATAATTAATTGCATGTATATGTATATACTGAGTTATGTATTAATTCTGCTATTTGGGTTGTATGTTAAGTTCTGAGTAGATGAAATTATATGTATTGGTAATGTTCATTTGTGAATCTGTGAACTAATGCTTGTGAATTGATTTAAACATGTTGTGTAACTTTAATTGAGGATGTTAGATGGGTATATTCTGAGACATCAACTGTTATGTTGAAAGTAAAGAGGATTGATAGTGTTTTAGGTTATTATAGAGGAAGTGAGGTAATGATTTTGAGAGTTAGAGGTCAGGGGCTATTGTGGTCTGTTGGGGCAGTCTTAACAAGTATATTGTGACTTGTTTTAGTCACCAAAGTGGTCCAAATAAGTGCAAAGTGTTAGAATTGGGTTTGGGGTCCTCAAGTGGTGATAATTGATGTTGAGGAGTAAAAGTTGAGTTGTAATCACCTTAAAATTGTATTAGAAGGGTTTAGGAACATCTAGACAAGTTTAATTAGGTGTAAAACATGAATTAGGGGTGTTAGTAATTGGAGAAAAGGCCTAGAAATGATAAGGGGGTGTGTGAGTGCATAATTCTGCAGAATTTGCGTTCTACAGATGGTGTAGAGTCGCTATGCGAATTGTCTCGCATAGCGAGTCCCTGTAGAGGGTGCTCTCTATTTGAGTCATTCGCTGTGCGAATGACTGGAGGGTGCTGCTCTCTGTCTGGTGATTCACATAGTGAATCTGGTCGTTATGCGACTGGTGGTGACCTGGAGTCGCTGCCAGTTTAATTCGAAAGTCGAATTGGGCGCAAAGCGAGAGTTTTAAGGGGGTTGGTCTTTGTCTGAGCTCTCGCATAGCGACTAGGGTGCACTATGCGAGAGGCATGAGGTATGGCACCTCTGTGAGTTAATTCACCATGCAAATAGTGCACGCTGTGCGAAACGCTCTCAGTCTCGCTGTGCGAAGGGGTGCGCTGTGCGAGACGTTCAGGGTTTTGTTCTCTATCTTCTCTTTTGTATTGTTTCACATAGAGTTGAATGTTGTATGTTTTGTGAAGTATGTGTTGGAGCAGATTGTATTATATGATGGGATTCAAACATGTTGTATATTGTTAAAGTGAAAGTGTATGTGATTCAAAGTATGTAGTTTTAAAAGTATGGTTGATGGACGTAATTCCATGATCTTCAAGGAGAAGATCCATGGTGGTGCCCTTGGTGTGTTTTAGAATGATTTGCATGGAAGCTCAGTCTTGGGAGTTATCCTGAAACTACAATGGTCAATCATTCTCAAGTAGAGAGGATTGAACCATGTCGTGAGTAGTAGCAGGAGGTCCTAGTCTTGGGTGCTTCCAGTATGGCCCAAGGTGAGTGATAACGGACTAACCTCGTGAGTGTGGTAGGGTGAAAACCATTGACAAAGAATTTGCAAAGCAGTAGAGGCCACCACGAGTGCATGACCCGCCATAGCTCGACAATCATTCTAAGTCCGGACAAGTCAAGTTTAAAGTGTAACAAGGTGTGTTAAGTGACCCAGTATATATGAATTAAACTTCATGTTGGGTGTGATTGTTATAAAATGATTTTTGTATATCTAGCTCACCCTTCTGCTTGTGTTTGTCTTTTGTTTGTGTGTTTTCTGTTGCAATAATCATCCATTTGGATGTGAGCAGAGGTAGATGAGGTGCTTCTGGAGCAGGGCTTGGAGGGAGATGACACCGCTGCTTAGCCTAGTTAGGATCCATAGGCTTCTGTTTATTTTGAAATACTCTATTGTGTTAAAGTTTTAAATTACAACCAAATTTGGGATGACTGTAACCTTAAGACTTTATCTACAAGTCTTCTTCTAATTGTTCTATTATATTAAAAATGTGGCCTACTAGATTATATAGTTCTACATAATCTGGAATGTTACATAAATTATATTCACAAAATTTTATATTTTAAAAATAATTATTGCACTTTACTTAATTACACTTTTTTTTTCATTTTAAAAATTAATTTTTATTTGTTCTCCTTATAATAATTTTTAGAATTATATACATTATTAACAATTATAATTTTATAATACTTTTAGTACTAACGAGATTTTGGTAATGTTCAATTTATACTAGTTAAATCATTTTTTTATCTGTCACACCGGTCAAATTCTATGTTAATTTTTACAAATTTTATTTTCAAGTTCACTCTCACTCGCCTCAAAATCTACTAAAAAAATAACAATCTACTCACTCTTAAATCCCCTTAAATTTATTTACTCTTTCTTCTTCAACTCTATCGTTTAAAGTGAACATAGCCTTTATCCTCAATCCAAGC